ACCCTACTAGCACCCCTGATTTCTCTGACAGTTAGGGGTGGGCATAATACCGGCCGAACCGAAAAAACCGTCCGAACCAAAAAATTTGGTTTATTCAGTTTTGATTTATCGGTCGGTTTGCGGTTTATAGTTTTAAAAAGTTCGGTGTTCGGTTAAATCGAATTTCGGTAGAGGTGGGCTTGAGAATCTCCAGTGAATGAATGAATGGGCAGTTTGCTGGTGAGACGGTTGCTACTGAAGCTCGAGAAAACCCCTAGCAGTGGTGGCGGCGGAGTTTGCCTTTGTTTATATAGCTAGGGTTTTGATAAAGTACGAATAATGTCCTAAATGTCCCTCTTCTTTTATTTTGGAGCGTGAATGTCCCGTATTGTTTTAACGTAGTGCAGGATGGACCTTACATGTTAATTATGGTGTGATTGCTAATAAATAAATAAATAAAGAGAGAGATATTTTTAGCTAGTAAAATCGAATTTGAAACCGAAAATCGAACCGAACATGAATAAACCGAACCGAACCAAAGTTATTATGGTTCATTATTGGTTATTAAAATCACAAATCGAAAATCGAATTAATCGAACCGAAATGCTACAAAACCGAACCGAACTGACTAATGCCCACCCCTACCGACAGTGGAGGACACTTTGAAGAAGATATTGGAGAATCACAAGACCATCATGGACACTTTGGTGGCACATGTGGGAGCAATTGAGGAGCTCGGAAAGCAGGTACACAAGATGATAATATCCAGACGTCCAAGAAGTCACTGGAAAAATTGAGGAAAGAGGCCACAAAGATAGCAACTGCTGGGGACCTTCCATTTGATTTGTTGATGGAGACAGCTCCGTCAGCACCAGTAGACCCAGCAGCACCTTCAGCATTAGTGGCACCAGCTGGCCAGTCTGAGGAGCGAGACCTCACTGCCCATACTGCTGAGGCGGTGCGATAGATGTTCTCCAACTCGGCTACTCCCCGAGCAGAGGATGATGAGATCCAGTTGGAGGAGCCCGGGGGTGATGACGTTGCTATGGACACAGAGGTGTCCAAGACCACATAGGGAGTCCTCTCTACTCTTTCCCTTCCTTGTTTTTATTTTGTTAAACATTAGGGACAATGCTTATTCTTATTCGGGGAGGGGGGTGGAGTTTATTTGATTTGATGATATTTGACATTTGGCCTGTAATAACGGATAATATTCTCTAATTATTTTCATTTTTCACATTTTCTTCTCTCTCTATTAATATATATATTTTCTTTCTTCCTCTCTCATCTTGTATATTCATTTTTGCTTTTAGTAGTTTACTTTATAGCTTCTTTATTTTGCTATCTTAGTAGTCAATGTTTAGTCCAATAGCTTCTTATTTACTTTAATGGCTTCTTTTTAATTTAGTAATTTCTTTTCATGTTTAAGTGATTAATAAGCCTTTGGTTTTCTTAATGCCACGGTTCTTTTCAAAGGTAGTTTTTGTGTGAACCGGGTGACTCTTCCTAACGATGGATGGCGTGACAACCTTCTTAAGGGATTGAGTCCATTTTTTATGTTTAGGCAAGAATAGTAGTAATAATGAATTAGAGGGCCTAATTGAGTAAAACTAAAAGAGTCAAGCATGCTTCACTTGGTATCAACAAACTTAATTACGGGCTTATGATTAAAAACAAGTTCTTGGAAAGAAATAGCTCTAGTTAGTGACCTTTTGACTCTTGTGTTGGCTTAAGCAATTACCGAGTGGTTTAGTTGAACCATTAGTGATTTTCAATCTTGAATACGATTGTTGTGGAACCTCGACTCTATCCTCTTTAACAATCCAGTTGTATGAGAGGTGAGATGTTTTATTGCAAGTCCAAGTACCCGTGCGAATGGTCTAGAACTTGCCGCGAATGTATTTCTAGGCCAAATTCTAAGTTTTGCTTGGCTTGAGAAGTGATTGTAGGCTCTCCTTGAACCGCTTGAAATTTTTCATGTCCTACCAATATTGCTATCCCTAGTCAATCCATTTGAGCCTAAGACCTTTCTCATTTGATAACCACGTTATAAGCCTTTACCTAATTTATAGAGACCATCTCTTGGCACCCCAGCTTTCCTTAACACTCTAGAGAAACAATTGGCAAAAATCTAAGTTTGAAAGAGAGACGAGGAGTTTGAAAGAGGTATCAAGGCACAAAAGTGAAAAGAAATGAAGAAAAGGAAAGGCAAAGAAAAAGAAAGAAAAAAGAAAGAAAGAAGAAAAGAAAAATGCAAAAAGAAAGTGAATAAGTTGAAAATTTGAAGGGATTCAAAGAAAATGCAAAGCATGGAGAAACCAAAGAAGGAGAAAATGAATACCATGACCAAGAAAGAGTGATGTTAAGTCTCTCTAGTCCCCCCTAATAAAAGAAAATGCCTCAAAGAGTGTGCAAAACATGAGCCAAAAAGAGAAAATGGAGTGCTTAAGAAAAGAAGAACCCGTTCTCTTCCAATATTTCCTACCTTAATCCAAAAGCCTTCATTACATTCCGAAAAAACCCTACGTGATTTCAAGCCGAGTGAACTTGGATTAGTGGTAATTTACAAGAGGGGCAAGCATATGGTACTTAGAGCCGTACTTGTGACATTCTTTTGAGAGAGATGAGCGAACTTTTCACAAATCCTTGAATTAAGTGCTACATTCTTAAGTGAGATATGCTAACAGAGAGTAGAGGAGGAGGAGTTTGGGATCCACAATGACCTACATGAAAGAGCGAGCTTCCTTGATGAATAAAGTCAACTCTTGATTCTCAAGTGTCACATTAGAACAATTGGTGCTTAAAATTCAACTCATTGCCTTGTTGATAATTCATAAGTGTTGTAGGTAATTGTTGGTCCCAATTGATGTGTGTTTGATACACCTTAGATTAGTTGGAATAGCTCTTAACTTGTGGAGGTGGGAATTAATTTAGTTGCTTGAGGACAAGCAAAAGCTTAAGTTTGGGAGAGTTGATAAGTGGAGATTTTAGTTGATAAGTGGGGATTTTGACTACTTATTAACGTCTTTTACTTTCGTTTTAGTCCAAAAGTGTTTAGTTGTATTTCCGAAAATTGATGAAATATGCTTAATTGTAGGAGCATTGGAAAATGAGCCACAAAGATGAAATACAACTCAAGAAAGAGTGATCTGAACTCATGGTCAAAAATTAGGCAAAAAGGCTCAAGTGTGGACCGCAGAATGCCATCTGCGGCTGCAGAATGTGAAAGAAGCCTGTCAGAGTCCAAGAGCAATGTGCGGACCGCATAATTATTGTGCGGCCGCAGAAGCTACATCAGAGCTAAAGTTCAGAGAGTCATCACTTCAATCCTAAAAGAAATGCAGACCGCACAATTATTGTGCGGCCGCAGAAGTCAGCCATGTGGCCGCACTCAGAATTGTGCGGTCCGCAGAAGGGCCCTGTGCGGCCGCACTCAGATTTGTGCGGACCGCAGAACTTGAGACATGCGGCAGCATTCCAGAATTGTGCGGCCACAAATTCAGCTCCTGTCAAGATTGAAGAAAAGTGCGGTCCGCACATGGAATTGTGCGGCTGCAGAACCTCTGAAAGGGCAATTTTGTCCGAAATTTCTAGCTTTGTATAAATAGACTAGTTTCACGAAATTAGATCATGTTTTGAATATTGGACCTCCTGTAGCCGTTTTTACTTACTGCTTTAAGCAACTTTAGCTTACTTTGGTGATTTAACATTGGGTTTTTATCTTTTAATCTTTGAATATGAGTTTTATCATCTTTTCTACCTTATTTTCTTCTATACCTATTATGAGTAGCTAGATTTTAAACTAGGATTGTGACCTAATCCTAGTGTGTAAACTTAACAGATATTTAATTTATGGCTTGTTTATAGTTGTGTGTTGATTATTTAGCCTTGTTCTTGCTTTTTATTGTAGAATTAATGGTTGCAAACATTAGTTCATGCCTATTTGACTTGGTCTCTACTTGAGAAAGAGAGACTTAGTCTAGAAAAACTTGGCTAACAAGAATTTGGGATGAAATCAAGAGATTGATAGTCCCAACTCCCAATTAAAGGGTGGAACCTAGAGATAGTAAGACCCAACTTGAGCATTTTATGAATTGTTTTGTTCAATACCCATTTGGACTTGAGAAAGCCAAATTGGGCAAAATCACTCTCTTACCGAGAGATATTGAGTGGGTACTTGAGTGTTGATAGCTATAATACACCCCGATCAACAAAACAAGCTTTAAAGTTTACAACCCGTTAGGTAAACACCTACGCGAAGGTCATAGCCCTAGGCCTTTTAGAATATTTGAAAAACAATCAAAAATAATATTTCATAGTTTCATACTTTTAGAATTGCAATCTTTAGCATAATTTTAGAAGTAAAAATAAACCATATTTGTGGAAGTGCAATCTAGATACTTCACGCGCTTAGTCCAACTATATACTACTTTATCCCATTCATATAGCTCCCTGTGGAATTCGACCCCGACTCTTAGTTGTGTGTTACTATTGCATCGACTGTTTCATAACCTCGAATTGAGGTGTGACTTGGACGAGATCAAGGATTAGGGTAGTAGAGTAGGTAGTCTAGAGTGTTCATAATAGTAGTATTGGCATGCAGTCTCCCTTTTTTTGGTAGAAGGTTTTTATGACTAACTGTTGTTTTCTTTCATTGTTGATCACCTTATTGTCTTGTTATTTTTATTCTGCTTTTATATGGCTTTTTGGTATTGTCCCTTCTTGACTATATTTTCATTAATGTGGTGCTTATGTTTACCTGATCCGAGGGTCTATTGAAAATAACCCCTATCCTCACAAGGTAGGGGTAAGGTATGCGTACACACTACCCTCCCCAGACCCTATGGTGTTAGATAATATTATTGTTTTTTCGAACACAAATTAAGGAAAAAAAAATCATATATTACTTATATCTTGAATATATATATATATATATATATATATATATATATATATATATATATATATAT